TTTTATTTTTAAAAAGTTACTTTGTACATTATAATCACATATCCACAATTATAATATAATTTTATTTTAATAAATTAAATCAATGTTATAAAATAAACTGTTTTAAAAATATACACTTATTTCTAAAAAAAAGGAAGCAATTTTGTGAAGAAAACGTCCATAAAATTAAAATGACAACTAAAAGTTGTTAATATAACCATTTTTTCTTCTTTTTTTTAATTTTAAATCTACGTAAATGGGTGTAACTTAAGTTCTAGCATTATCTATGGGAAGTGTTTAAACAAATATGTCTCATTACGTAGCAATTATTAACGCGTAATATAAAACGTGTCCGGTATAAGGAAGGAGTAACCGTGTTACTCTCTTTAGCCCCGACCACCTTATTAATCACTTTGAGTCCTGCGAAGAAATCGAACCGACAATTAAAGTGTCTTGTCCACCCTGGGCGTTAACTGCCGCTAATGCATATTTAATTGGTGCACAGTCGATGTTATTCAGAAAACGTTTCTTGTGTAACTAAATGACATCTTCCCTATTGAAGATACATTGAAATGTGGAAAATTACCCTTACCTAATTATTCCTATCAAAAAATTAGATCGGTAGGTTATAAATACTCGCTCTGGAATTTTTGTACCTCTTTCACAGGATATTTATTTCTTCATTATTATGCGCTGTGAGATGCATTAACTTTTTAGTTAATGTTACGTTCAGCTTGATCATTTATAATATTTAATAGTTAATATGCATTATTTTATCTGATATATTTTTTAAAACTGGTCAATTTACAATTTAAAAAAGTGTTAGGTTTGCTTTTTTTTCTTATTTATATTAAATTATAAATCTCTTTGACACGAAATGTGTTAAATTCTTCATCTGTATGATGAATAGATAGGAACTTTAAAATAGTCTAGAGCTTTTAAAAAAATTTGTCTCTCTTAAAATATATATTTATATTTGTTTTTACATATTTAAAAAGAATTAGTAAGCTGTTTACATGTTTATAAATCCTAATCTCTGCTGGAATACACGGAACTGCTTAACAAAAATCCGTTTTCTATATAGTATGTAGTCACGGATGACAGTCGCTATAGTTAAATTACGAGTAACGTTAAGTCACGTTATGCCTCAGGATGACTATAACAGGGCGGTCTTTATGTACTCTTAGGGAGCATAAGTCATAACACGTAGATAGATTGGGCGCAGAAGTGCCAATAACTCTACAAATATCGAAACTTAATGAATAATTCATTAAGTTTCGTTTCCAGATTTTTTTATGTCAGAAATCTTAATTTTTTTCAAGTTTGAAAGGTTAATCTAAAAAAATTACTTTTAAAAAAACGTTTACTTTTTAAAATACTTTTAATCTTAATGAGTTATTTTAATAGCAAAATTGCTTTAAAACTTTCTTTTTAATTGATTCGAAATCTTAATTTAAACAATTAAAATTAAGATTTTAGAACAATCAGAAGCGTGAACTATTAATTAAACTATAATTATTAGTGTAAACTTATAATAAAATTATTAAAATAAATTAAATATCCGTTATTTCATCACGTAAAACAAAACGGAATTTCTAGCTTTGCCATAAGGTTTATTTACTTGAACAAACTTGATATTATGGACATAAAAAACTAAATTTTATTCAAATTGACTCAAAACTTATCCGGTTATCTACGTAAGTATAAAAATAGGCTAATCTACTATTTCTTTCTTAAACAAAAAATTTTATTTGGAAACTATTCTAAAGGTCATTTATATTAATAAGAAATAATAAAACGCTCGTCGTATTTTTAATAGATAATAAAGTTTTTTTTAACGATTTGAACTTAAAATTATAGATATAAGCTTATCATAAAAATGTTTATAAGAAGGATATGTAATAGATTTAAATTATTAATTAACGCATTAATATTTATTATGATAATATAAAAATTCTATCGGACAAATGTCAAAAATAATCTAATAAGTTTTTAGATATTGCAAAATTAAAAGCCAATCTTTTAAAAATTAATTATAATTGTTTCCAAGAATGAAGTAAATAGAATAAAGAAAACATGATTTACATTCAAGTTTAAATTAAATTCAAGTTTAAATTAACCTTGTAAGTTACACAATATTACAAGTAGGCCTACTGAGGTTTTAACATTGTACACTTTTTTTCGTAACGCTCATTTTATATACATTAATTAAGGCGTGTTCATAGATCGGCTCAATTAAAGCTTTGTCCAATCGCTACATCACTTAAGAACATGGGCTAATTGATTATGTAGTAGCCTTTTCGACTTACATTTAATGTCAACATAGCTGTAGCCGCTTTGTTATCAGCGTATGAGGAGTTAGCATCTTAAAAAGATTGACATGCGGTATAACCTTTGAAAATAATTATATAAAAATCTTAATTATTTATTAATTTAGAAGAATAAATATATAATTAAAGAAAAAATTCTAGAAGTGTACACATCATACGTATGAGAAGACATTGCCTCTGGCTTTCCCAAGCTCTAAAAAGATATTAGGAAACGAATAGGGTGGTGACTTTGCGTACCAGGCTCTAGTAGTAATTGGCACCAAAGGTTTATTAAGTAGTTTAATTAGCTTATGCTAATTGGCAGAAATTATCTAATCAATTTTAAAGATAGAATGTAAAATTCATTTTTGAAAAAAAAAAGCAGCTCATTGAACTTCTTACAATTAATTCTGCATTATTTCTATCTTGGCTTTGAAATGAAATTATAGAAATTTAATAAACTTACTTTAAAAAGTTAAAATCGTTTGTTTTAATGTAGAAATATTTAAATAATGTAAGATTCTGAATGTAACTTAATTCAGAAAGATTAATCTTAATGACGCTAATTTATAATTTTGAAAAAATGTGCAAGAGTTTCAAATGACGTTTATAAATTATTAGAATATAACAATATTAATAACGATATTAAATATTAACAAATATTTGTGATATTTTTGATGCAGGTTAAGAACAAAATTCGTTAAAATATTTAATGATTATTAAAATTTGCAAAGCTGAAAATTGATATCGTTTATCGATATTTCGTGGAGAGTTTATCATCATCATGTGACCTGAACAATAGCACTCATGTTTTTAAGATCAAATAACCCATAAAAGTTTCATTGATATTGAACTATTGATACACACTGTCGACATGTCTCGCAACTAAGTCGTTAAATCTTTTCGTGGTTTCAGATTTATATTAGTGTTAATAAACTGAAAAAACAACAAAGTTTATTCGAAATTTGCCTTAATATTCTTAAAAATTTACTTTCGTTTTTAATATCAAATTTCAACATTTTCAATAGCGAAAATCTTAAAAAGTATTAAAAATAATCACGCGTTAAAGATTAAAAATAGAACAAATTATAAAATAAAAATATGATCAATCATTAAACTTTTTAAGGAAAAAATATTAGGAACTGTTAACATAATTAAATTTTTTAATTAGCAGCAATAATTCATTCATAAATATATAAATTTCCTCAAGCATCAACTTAAAAAATTAATTTAAATCAATATCTAGTAAGAAGTTACATTTAGAAATAGAAAAGTTATAACTTTTTTTATTTTTTAATAATATAAAAACAAATCTAATTTTAGAAAATTAAAAGCGCCTACATCTTGAATAAAAATAAGAATTTAAAAATAAATGAGCAAAGTTACAGTACATAAATAATTCACAAATCAACATAACTTTTAAAAGTGATATTTTCGTATTTTACATCAATCACACCCATTTCTGTCATTGGTATGCAATATTTTTATTCATTTTTGCTTGACTTTCCTTTTTGTAATATAAAAATTTAATTGAAAATTACTCGTAATCGTAATAATATAACCTTAAAAATACATAGGTTATAAATATTTTTTTTTAATTTTATTTTTCTTAAATACATTTATTTAAAAAGTTGAATGCATTTAAAAGTACTTATTAATGTCTTTTTTCTTAATGGAATGCAAACAGCTCCAAATGAACTGCTTTGAGGTACCAGTAAACACAGCCAATAAGATACCACTGACCTGTCAGGTCAGACTTCAATTTGACCTCTTTCCAAGAAGTGAAAAGTTGATTGGACTTGTCTTTGTGTTTTGATGTTAAGTTTTCGTACCGTCTGACGCTAATAAGATTTCTGATAGTAGAAAGAGAGCTAACAATTAATAACAACAAAAAAAAAATGTTACTTCTTCGCACTTTCTCTGCAATGTGTATCAAACGTCTCCTAAAAGTTATAATACGCCCCGTAAAGTTATAATGAAAATTGATGTAGAGCACTACAAATATTGATACTCTACAGTAAAATTTACTTTTTAACAAATTTTCCTCGCAATAGTTTAATTTTTAAATTGTCTTCCTGATCTTAGTCTATTTGACAATGAAAAATATTTAACACAGTTTTAATATATATNATTAATGGAATTCGGGTATTGAATTTGAAAGGGGTGCTTACCATAAAAAATAAATAAAAAGATTCTTGATAAACATTAAGCATTTTCGTATTAAAATCTTAATATCTATGTTTCATAAAATAATTTTTTTAAATATTTTTATAAATTTAACATATGTGTGTCTTATTTTATAACAGAAACGAACTCCTAAGAATTTTTCTTATTTTAAATTGCCTACTGCAGGACAGGTCAATCTATTGTATACTTCTAATGCCTGAAGGTATGCGGTGATGTAGGTCAGAAGAATGGACAGCACCCTAAACAAGAACTTTTGTGAGTGTTAACTTGTTGCATTTCATGGTAAACTTAGCAATTTTCTGTATACAAAATTCAATAATAAGCCTAAAATTTTAGGACAATCTTGCAATTAGATTTACTAAAACAGCATTCTTACCGGCAAATGAAATAAGTTACTTTCAATGGAGAACTAAAGTAATCAGTAGTAAATTAAAACTAATATCTAAATTCGGAAGTTAATGTTTAGCACGTGGAGTGAAGTTAAAAAAGAATTATTACCCTAACCGAGCAAAAGCTATATAAATGTTAATAACCTACCTCTAGCACGCTGGTATGTGCTAAGGAATTTAACTATTTAAAAATATACATGTATCTATTATGTAAATAGAGAAAAGTACCTCATTAGGTGAATCGATCAGACCGAAGGCAGATGGCATATCATCCGATTTACCAGGCGACAATCTACCTGTGACATCATCAGAATCGTCCACCTTTCTCTTCTGTGCATTTCCAGCATTCGGGCTACCAGCGTGGCCAAGTGGGCTTAGCTGGGCCATCATCAAAAAAACAAATAAATAAACTAAATTTAGCCCAGCTTTAAGTTCGCGTAGATCCACTCGATAGTACTCTTACAAACTGGAAAAACGTTCGTCCGTATAACTCGCCTGCACACTTCACTGGAGTCTCGGCCGCACCTGAGCTACTCCGCCACAGGTGAGCGGGACTTAGTTGATACCCCCCGTTCTTCTATCCCCCACGCTCAACTCCACAAACACTCCCCGAGTGCCTTCCCGGAAAAATACAGGGGGAGAGATGTGTCGGAGATAAACGCGCCGGTCTAGTCTACCCTGAGGCTTTTTCAAATTCTAGTCTCTTCCTTAGCATAAATTGGGACGCTCTACCTGTCTAGTTCCATTCTACCCTGCCGTAACGAGTGGGTCAGTCCCGAAAATGACCTTGACACTCGCGACACGTCCCGTAGTATCGTTTCGGTTTCGGTGCCACAAACGGTGACGAATTGAAAACATCGTTTCTGATTTGTCAAAGTTACAATTGTGATTCGTGATCTCTATTGGATGAAATTAAGCACGCCTTCTTTGTCGATAAACCAATAGACTCCTCAAATGATACATGCGTCGATACGAAAACACGCCTACACTACGTCATATGGAAGTTTTTGCAAACATGTGGCGCCCTCTGTTAACAAAATATCTTAAGAAGAAATGGATTAATTTTGAATTTAATTAAAGCGTATTTTTTATCTAAACCTTTTTCAATTTTAAGTCTAAAGTTTTTATCATTTTAATTAAGTTTTAAATTAAGATCATTTTAAAATTAGAAATCATTTTTAAAATATAAATTTTATTTTCTATTATTTTTATAACTATAAAAAATTCTAAACACTTAATACTTTCATTTATAAAAACTTTCTCGGGTAAAAAAGCATTTTAAAAAATTAAGTAATTTCTTCTATTTTTTTCCAAATTTAAAATTATTATAACCTACACAAAATAATTTATTGAAGAGTTCAAAATTAAAAATCACTTAAAATTTTTAAAACACATTTAAATGTATAGAAGTTCTTAAAATAAATTGGTCATTTAAAAACTTAGATTTGTCACCTGATGTATGGATGAATGTACTGTACACAAAACAATAATTGTCGGGGTCAGTAAGTACACATGATCGAAACAAAAGTACCAGGCCGTGAAAATGTAAATAAAAAAAGGACAGATTCCGTCATATGACATCGTGATAATTATAGTTTTGCCTACTAGCAAACAATGGTACTAAATGGTGACAACATGGGAACCATCGTGGTTAAATACGAATAAAGATTTAACATGTTATTAAATCGTCCTTTTATTGTGCCGAAAAAGTCTTCGATTTGCAAATTTTTTAATCAATTTTAAGTGCGTTACATTTTTGCACCTCAAATAGTTATTATGTTAACTTAAATAAAATTAACATAAACCAAGAATAGAAATTAAATTTTTACTCTTCAATCGATTCGATTTATTAAAGTACTTTTTTAAAACTTTATTTATAGTTTAACATTTAAACAATAGTCAATAATATTGAAAAGCTCAATCCATCTTCCAATACTTATCTACAGATAATGATGTGTAAAAATAGTTTTTCTCGCGTTTATGTCCGTTTGTTTTCAACAACAATAGTTAAACTCTAATTATAAAAAAGAAAGAAAAGAAAAATATTTTAAACTAAAGCTCAGATTTTTCTGTAGATATTCTTTCACTTAAAATAGCTCGAGGGTTACAAATATTATGACAAATAAACGAAGTAAACTTGAAGGTCGGGGGTCATATAAATTAAATTTAACCGTTGCTACTCTTAAGAAAATAACTTAACAATAGAAAAACCGTTTTTATTTTTACGATCTTTCGAAGAAATTGAAATAAGTTTTAAATTTTTCTAACGACTGATGTTTCTTTAATGCTCGACTTTGAAATAGGTTCGTAAAGTAGATAAGATTATGCTTTAAGCATGATCTTTTCTTATCTACCAAATTTCTACTCTGTTCTAATCCGGTGTAGGACGTCATGCTGGAGACAAAGATCATTATCTGTCCCGCAAACAAAAGGTGTAGAATACCTATCTCACCAGTATTTTGTCCCTGAACTGGCGACAGTTGCCTAGTTTGCAGACATTTGGACGGGGTGAGGACATTCTATGACTAAATAATTAATTTTCTGCTTAAAAAGTAGGCCTAATATTTGTGTTATAGATTTGTGAACGATATTTCGTGATCGACGCAGAATTATTATATGTCATATTAAACAATTAAACAGAATTAAATAATGTAAAATAATAACCATGTGATATATGCAATTTTCTGAGAAGATTTAAGCTCTATAGTACCATTAATTGTTATTAGTTTACTATTAGTTATTGACGACAATAATAGTGGCATTTCATAAGTCTATGTTTAAATTCTTCACATTTTATCAATTTTTAAAAAAAATTACAATAAATAAATTTGATTATAATAATAAAATAACCTAGAGAGATTTTTCTTAATCGAATTATGAATGAGAGATGCAGAAAAATTTGATAGAGCACAAATATTAGGGATAACCATAGTTAACTTAACTATAAGAAAGTATTTTCTCTATTTTAGATGCTTTTACCAAAGTATCCATCATTTGTTTAATAGTATTTATAAAATTGATAGGGTTTGTAAGAATTATTTTGTTTACTACTTGTCGTTTTGCCCAATGAGCTTCGTGCATACCCGTTAGTGGTTAAAAGGGAGCGGTATTTCTATGTTAGTACAATTGTAGAATCTATCTATCATCGAGATAGGACCCAGCCGTAAATCACGTTGTTCTAATGAGTGGGGGAACTACCAAACCCGAAAATTAAGGCGGAAAATCACTATCCTTCCCTTGGCAAAGTGCAAAATATACCCCGAATGGTGCAATAGTTATAGATTTTACGTTATAAAAAAACTGAATAAAATAAATGAAAAATATAAACTTTAAAATATTAAATATTTTAAATCTTAAAGTATCTAACTAAAATCAGAATTATCTAATAAGGTTTTACAGTATGTAACTTAAGAATCAATATTTAATTTTATAATAGAATCAAATTATGATTAATTATTCATCTTTTATTGGTATAAAATTTTTAAAAATTTATTTACAAAGAATTAATTCAAATTATTATTAGGCTCCCATTTATAAAGATTAATGAAAATGAAAAAAAATTATTGCATTTAAATTGTACTAAAAATTTGTTTTAAATTTTATTAAAATTACGATATGTTCACAAATTCAACTTAAAATTAAACGATAACAACTTAAGATTTATTATTACAAGTTTATAAATAAACTTTATAACCATTCGATAAACATTTTTATTGTACTGTACAGACTTAATCAAACTTTATTGAAAAAGATTGAATTATGTTAATATAAAAATGCATAAAAACTTAAAGATCAGAAAAATTCAAGTCGTAAATTTTTTTCATCAAAACCATCAATATTGAAGAATATATTTATTTAAAAAAACTTGTTTTAATTTATTAAAAAAGTAATAATAAAAAATTGAAGTTTAAATGGCATAATGCATAATGGAAAGGATTATTTTAACATATAACAAGGGCATATGATGTAGCCTAATTAGCACTAGATAAATGATATAAAGTGGTGATTTATATACAATAAAACATAAATCTAAGAAGCATAACTAATACGATGTGTTACGAAGAGTGAGTATTTATGTATTCAGAGAAGCATATTACATTATGAGAATGCGATTGGTTGTTATGATATCAGTAAGCAAGGTAACCCCCAATCGTCAGGGCAATCACTCTGCTTCAAGGTCGGGTGTGTCCACAAATAATCACTAGATTGGTTCATCATAATTAGGAATTTTAAACCGATGACATCACTCTAAATTATTAGATACTAATTATTAGAATTTTTCATCCAAAAATTAAGAATTATTTAACGCATTTTTTATGGTATGCAATATGAAATCTTTTTGAGATTCTTTATTTAAAAAGGTCTTTATTAATTCTGTAATTTTTTATTTTATAATTTTAAAAATATTTAAAAATTTTATGACTTGTCTGATCTAAAAAATTTCATCGAATTCAATTTATCTATGAAATTGTTGGTGCACAAGAATAGTGACACAACTCAAAAAAAAAAAAAAAAAATAGATCTTCCAGAACAGCTATTTAAAAGTTTGTTTCCTGCAAGGCTTTCTCATGATCTTGGATTTTTAAAATTTTCAAATCTTTTTTGGAAATAAATATTAGTGTTCGTTCTTCTACATAAAAATATGGGGAGTTTGCTATACATTTCTACAATAAATTCGAAAGTGGAAATTTTTGAGTTGTGTCACTATTCTTGTGCACCAACGAAATGTTAAAACACAGATATTAATAGACATATTAATTTTTTAAGAGAAATATATAATATAAATTTATATAATTTTTAAAACCTTGAAATTAATTTGTAATTTAATAAACATTTATAAAGTTATACTTTCAAATGTCAGCAATTTTATGTAGAATTATCATCATAAAATCGATAACGATGAAGTTTTTTACTTTAAGTTATGAGAAAAAAATATATATAATTAAAGTAAAATAGTCAACAATTTAAGAAAAACAATAATTGTGAAATTATTCAACTGTTAAAATTAATTCTATAAAATTAAATTATATTTATTTAAAAATTATGAAGAAATGTTGAATATTAAAAAATACATAAGTTTATAATGATTTTATAATTTTATTTTATTTTTCTGATTTATTATGTTTACAGTTTGTCTAAAATCATATTTAATNTTTATATTATCCTTAATCTTTTCAGAGATGTAAAAATAATAAAGCATGAGCCCATGTTTTAAAATCTACTTCTAATTTTTCTAGTTGTTTTTAAGAGAACCATGTCTCTAACTAGGTTTTATTGTTTTTCCCTCAATGAAATAAAAAAAAAGTTATTTATTTTATGAAATAAAGACTATTAAATCCCATTTTTGCTTTTATATTTAATATTAAGTGATTTATGTATTTACTAATATATATTTCATTATGAGTAATTATTCCTATTATTTGATTGTTATAGAGAAATAACATTTAATAATTTTGTTTGCTATTTAATAATTATATCAAAATATGTTACGAAATTATAAAAGTATTATATATATTTACATATAACATTTTTGGAAAATTATACAAAGTTTATACAATTTAAATGCTGTTAAAAAATTATAGTAATAAATAGAAAATGTAAAGATATATCTTCAAATTAACATTCATCAAATATAATATTCTCAGCATTGCCACTTCGAAATTTATTTCTTTTTTCAGATGGTAACTATTATACAGAATTTATTAACGGAATATTAGATTATTAAGATACTATTATACAGACATAAAAATTCTTGAATATAGTAAATAACTAATTTACCTCTCTTTATATTACATAGACCTACTGCATAAAAAATGATAAATTTATAGGTCACGTTCATTTTAGCATTTCTAAAATTCCTCTCATGCAAATACAAGTACATATCAGGTCGTTTATTTTCTTGTATATTTTTATATTTTGCCAAATAATATATGAAATGATTAGAATGACTGATTTATTAAAGAACCTCATACGTAGAATCGAGTTATATCGTTTTCTATATTTTATTATAAGTGCAATAATTCGTCAATAATTAGTTCAATATTTAATAAGTAATTATTTATTTACAGTATTAAGTGGTGGTATACATTTAGTTAAATATACACGTATTAATTTTCATAGCTTTCCTCCCCCTGTTTTTAAAAGAGATTATTCGAATATTCTTTTATTTTTCTCTAAAGTTGATACCGAGTAATAAAAATAAGGAAATAATAATATAGATGTGATTTTTATTATTTAAGTTAACTTTAAAAATAATGAGTAGGTGAAAATCGGATTTCATACTGACCAATCCAGTTCAATTGGTAAGTTTTATTTGTATACATTATTGCAAAAAAAAAAAATTAATTTATGTCTATAAGTATTATAAAACCTACTTAAAACTGATGGACAATATATTTTATAACAAAATGAGCTCTTAATATTAAAGAACCTATAACTTTTCATAATACACGATATAGCAAGAAAAATAATATTAATACGAATTTTTCATTCATATTTGTTTTCTTGTATATTTTCTCAGATTATTTTAATATTTTATTTAAATTTATAATTACAGATTATTTAGTTGTTATTTTATTTTATTTTTGACGACCGTTTAAAACCTTTTCATGGGCTATATACATATCCGTGGATAGGTCTATCTACTTACATGCCATGGTTGGTTTCCCAATTCAGCATTTTCTCCTCCAATGATTTTCGAGTTTCTGATGTAAACTTTTCCGCATGCTGGAGACAAAGATAAACCGGTCAATAATTCATTTAAAATACAGAAACAATATGAAAATTACTGTTAAATAACCAGTATAATCTAAAACATAAAGACTCGTTTCTTCAGTATTTTTTATGATTATTGTATGTATAAGAAAAATATTTCCTTCTATACAGTCAAATCACTAAATTATTAAATCATGCATTAAACTTATTTTACCTGGATTTTTAATTAAATTGTTTCCGGTTGGTGTGGCATTTCTAGGGATGCAGCAACTCCAGAACATTCCTCCACTGCATAGGTCGATTGCTTTCTTTCCTTGAATCCAACAGGATACAGCCAGCATGCAAGGATAATCGCTACCATGATAGGTACAAGTTCTAGGTGCGGCTAGTAAAATATAATACTTGTTATTGCATATATACTGTATATATTAAAATATTCGAAAGAAGCAGTATCTAATTAGTTTATATTATTTGATTTTTCGTAAAAGTGAATAAAAATGTAATACGAATAAATTCATCTCTTATAAATAGTATCAATAAAACAAATTTGTAGAAAATTTAGTTAATGATTAAACAATAAAAATGAGTTATTGATGCAATAATTAACAGTTTTTTCGAATTTACAAATAATAATTACGGTATATAAAGATGTCTTAGAAATATATATAATAATTAAGCTTTACTATCTTCGTATATGTTACGAAACGAAACAGCATATAAATAAATAAAAATTGTAAATAAGAAATAAAAGAAATAATCACGCTTTGATATTTATGTATGGCTTATTCCAACAAGATTACTATTGGAATAAATTAAATATAATATTAATTGAGTAAACAATATCGTATTTCACTACGGTCAATGACTTATTTAAATAAATTATGTAAACAAATAATAGCAGTCACAGAAATACAATTATTATTCTGTAACGTTGCTTTCAGCGATATTTAATCTCAGTCGTATATATTATATGTATATTAAATAAGGATACGTACCAAGAAGTTGTTGTGCTATATTAAAAATTTGACTAGTTATTTGCGTATCTAAAGTTTTTGTATGATGATGTGCAGTTTGATGGCAATTGACAATGATGAGAAGAACACCGACAATAAATGTGCAAAGCAGAGTTATCCTATACATAAAAAAATAATAATAGTTTTAAAATCATCGTATTAAACACATTCATTAATTAAATCATTAAAGAATTTTAAATTAAATTTCGAATTTTATAATATATTTTTGTCAATAAACTGTGCATCCTTAACAATATTAATTATAGAAATTATAATTTATATTATATATATATTTTCGTAATTTATTATAAAAAATATGAAATATTTAAATTATAACCATCTTAAGTTAGTATCCTATAATTACAGTTGCTCTATATTTTTTGTTTATATAAAAAAAAATATGCGAAAAATAATTTAAAACTAAAAATTTTTATAATTATAAAGTATGGAAAATTACTACTTTGAAGATTCTATATCATTTTGTTTGACAGACCAAGTAATAATTAGATTAAAAGATAGTTCTAAGCAAAAATAATGCAGGGTAGGTAGAACAAATAATGAAAAATTTATAGCGTAATTAATCAAATTACGGACTTTTCAATCAATAATACTGATAATCTTTTTAAATTTATTGACAGTTGTAAGTGGCAAAATATATTAATAAAAAACAAAAGAATATATATACATACATGTACAGTACATTAGCACACGTATATTCACAATATTCATCTGGCTTCCTACATATTGATAAAAAAAGTAAAATATGTATGATGTTTAGCATATTTAGTAAAGGAAATTAATTACTTTAAATCTATTTACAAAGGACATGGTTAAGTTTTATGTTAAGCAACGAACCATTTAAATGTAACAGAAATGGTCTAGTGCAATCTGATGCATACGCTACTGTTGCAAGTGAGTAATTGCATGAAGGTCAATCAGCAGATCCATCATTCAGGTGCTTGTTGGCAATAATAGCTCTGTCCTTCTAAACTACCCTTCATAAATTCGAGACTAAGAGATAAGTTATATTTTTCAATTAGCGCTTACGTTTATATATTGTTCGAATTGATGATTGTATCGTTACTGATGTTGAACTTCATAAATAAATGTAACTCTTAAGTTAAATTGAAAAGGTTTTATTTAATAATCATTCTACGAGATGTTCATTATTATAAAAAGGAATGTAAGAATGTTAGAATGGGCGTAACAAATTATCTACTTGTTACACTTATGAATGAGGAAGAAGCAATGAGAACAGAATAGAAAATGCATATGAATCGTCCATAGAAGTATTCGGTCGTAGAATGCTTATCAATCAAACACATAGCATGTGTCACGTTGTCTATTCTATGGGCAATCATCTGTCATAGCTGTTGATCTTAAATATCTATTATTTTTTATTATTATTTTTTAAATTCTTTCTAGTTATAAATTAGTCTGTACGTTGTTAAATGTGAAAATTATTTCAAATTAGATTTTTGAACTAAAGGTAAAAACTGTTTGCTAATTAACTTGAACGCACCTTTTGATCTTTGAGAATGCCATGGAGGGAATCTCTTCACGCTCCGATGACAAGCTTGGATGGTAATTAAGTCGAGAGACCTGTTTTATGTACCGTCAGATGATGGGCTTAGTTGATTCCGATGGAAGTTACCATCAACCATGCGACAAATCGATGGTGTGGGAATCGCATGGAAGTTCCACGCTTTTGCAATAACATTCTCAAGAAATGAAATCATCCGAACCATGCGACTTTCTCATAATTAAAATACGTACCAACGATGTCACGAAAGCTAATTATCACCCGTGTTATCGTGATTGCACTTACACAACAGATTAAATTGGGCATTTCTAGATCGATAATGAATTTATGTTGAAACTTCATTTAAAAATTAATGAATAACGTTTGAATTGCATATAACTCATAGTATGCAGTTTTACAAATATATTTATCTGTTATTACCAATATATAATTAATTAATTTGTATACAATAATAATTACTTTTTAGTATAATATATTTACTTTATAATATAATATTAATATTTAATCTATACTATATTTTTCTATAAATCAATAGTTCATCTGACACGTCGTTTGATAGTGTTTTATTCTGTGTCACAAATATTCTAAATTTGTACAGTATGAATTAATATAAAGATAATGAAAATAAGTAAATTATACTGTTTTAACTTCTTCCTCCCAAATATACCTTATGCTGTTTATCATATGCATAAGCTATATTTTCTATTACTAATTTATAACGTGTAATTTATAGCATTTGATTTTTATTTTAACTTAATATACACTTATTACAGTAAAGTACATATAAGTGTCATTCGAATAATTTATAAATAAAAATAATAAAATCTAAGCTTATATACTGTCGTATAATACACACATTCTATACAAGATATAGTATATTCTACAACATAGCCTATAATTCATTCATCATTTAGTAATTACAAATCTGTTCAAACTATATTCTACTTAAAATATGATTAATCTTTACTTTGCTAATAAATTATTGTATTGTGCTGTAAAATGTTAATAATTATCTATTATTCATATATTTCTCAAAACGTAAGTATCTTGCAGGTTTAAAAAAAACAATAGCAATATATCGAACAGCTAATTGCTTTTTAACAATGACTTCTCAGGCATATAACAACCGTTATACCTCGATAACACGTGACTGGAATGATTCCGTTTAACCGTTAACAAAATGGATCGTGAAACAGTAAAATTTATTAATTAGATTTACACTTATAACGTGATTTGTTTACATTTTATGATGAAATGATACATATTTTGATAGGGGAAAAAATCTGTGATTTCCTTGTGAAGTTATTACATTTTCCAGTTTGAGTTTTTCCCTTTGTTACAAAGTGTCATTGAATGTAAAGAACGGCTACTGTCGCTTTATGAATAGAAGGTATGATTTTCGTGATTAATGTGATCACATCTCCGACTAAAGATGTATGATACAATCATCTTTTGAGAAATGAAAAAGGTTGAGTGAGATTTATTTTGAAATATGAAAGAGCACCCTCAGATTGTACTAGCCGCATTATAATTACCTCATAACTGATGATCCAGGATCATTCCTTTATATAATCTTATATATACATTAGAAGAAAAAAAACTAGAAAGAATCTGCTAAAATATAAGAGTTAACCAGAAGTTACTCTATTGAATGTACGAGGAAGGTAGTCCTGTTTTGCAAACTTTATTATTAATCACAAAAATGGCCATATTTTAAAAGGAGAGATATATATTATATCTTCCTGCCTACAACAATAATCTAAAAGAATATAAATTTTCGAGTAGGTTCAAGTTTAATTACGTGAGAAACATACTAATCATAACTTTAACTACATTATATTAAATTTTTTAATTTAAAATACTAAAGGGAGTGAATTTATATTAAAAAAATTATAACTACTCCTATTTTAAATTATAAAAATTGTGGTCAGCATTTTTATACATTGTAACCAAATAATATGTTAAATCCTTTAGCTCGGATAATCATTAAATTTTTAAATATTAAAAAAAATTAATAATAGTAATGCATTTATATAAAAGTGTAGTGGAAGAGGTCATCCAACTCTATCATGACTTTTGTTGAATCGCGTACATCTATAATTCTTCACAATCATCTTTTTCTACTTCTCTTCTCCTCCATCAATTTTTCTATCTCCTATATATTACGTGCCGAATCTGGCACCCCTGAGGCCTTTCTATCTATAACTGAATGTCATAGCTCGTGCGGTCACGCGCTTCATTCTTAAACTGACGGACAGGTGCAAGCGGTCAATCAAAGACTTTAAAAAAAGGAAGAAGAAGAAAAAAAACAGGAAAAAAATTTTTGAGAATCGGTTATTTTGACAAATTGTACATGTCTTGTAAAAACTACTGAATGGCACTCCAAGACGCCATATTGGTGACATATCTACGATGTTTCATACGTTAACTGAATCCTGTTTTTGATTGCAATTTTATGTTCTGGAAGATTTTTTGTTATTTTTATATTATTAATTAAATAGATTAAATATTGTTAACAATTTTAATATAAAATTAAACCTAAAACAATTATATTCTTATTATATTGCATAATACCGTAACAGTAGCTACTGTTCAGATTCTTTCATTCATATTTATGTTAATTTATAATGTAAAATTTGAAATCTTCGTAAGATCAAAATAATGTTTATAGTATTTATGTAGGTTATTGGGAAGCTATTGATGATATTTGAAGAGTTAAATTGAAGGCAATTGGAAACGATGTTGAAAGCGTTAATCGCTCGCAAAAATGTGTTTTAGAACTTTTTAACAATTATTCTGCTGTTGATTTATAATTTCAGATCAGTAGAATCAATACACGAAATCTACCGCGAGAAAAACAACTAAAAATGCGCTAAATGATACTAGATATAACTCCTAAAATTAATTAATTGCGTCACAATGTCATAACTATTTTAGAATATAATCGATACTAAAGATATAAGCTAATGAAATTCTTAACTATAATTAAAGTTCTGTTTTTCATCTTTATAAGAATATATCCAAGTCCATTTACCGCGGTCTGTTTTGTATGTAAATAAATAAAGTAGGTTGAGTTTTGCCTCCCACTTGACTGACATTTGACTTATCACAAAATATAGCCCGAAGCAAATTGCTCGGTCTTTGACGGTTAAACCTAATGCATGATTAGCACCTGTGTCTATCCATCTCGTTTCTCCACCCCAAATCTCATCTCTCCCTCATTGCTGTTCATCTCCTTCGTTTCATTTTCGGAAAATCCCTCTCACCTTCATAATTACAAGCCGGTAGATGCCAAGTGACGAGCAGACCAATGTGGGGGAACGTTACGGAAATTGTCAGCTTGATAAGTGTTCACCCCGTATTATTGTACTCTTATATTGATGTATCGAAGGTCACGTCTACTCGGATCAATATTTACATTATATAAATATTGATAGAATGACAAATAAAATAAGCTGTATGAAGAGTCGTACTTAAGAGTTTAATAAATTTATCAAATGCTAAATTTTGACAGTTTTTGCTATTGAATGGACAGTTTATTACATCAAGTTTTCATTCCAAAATAAACTGATCACA